TGGTACACCCCTCCTAATGTGCTTTAAATAGCATACAATTGTTCTCAATAAAAATGGTTCATTGTTAAAACAAATGAAAGTATATATGAGAGACAGAACAAAGAATAGTCTAATCAGCTGATTGGGAGCAGGTGTGGATAGAGAGCTAGGGGGGAGGAGACTGGCACAAGGGGGCAACAGAGAATAACTCAAAAAACACAACACTGCTTAAATATAACTAAAGAGCATCTACAATGATAAAAATCAAAGTATAACTGAAAAATAAAAAAGAAACTAAAAGAAATCCCCAAAGGGCAGAATCATGACACCTTGTTAGAACTGCTTTGTAACATTTCCAAATACCTTAAGTTTTTTAAATACAGCTTTTCCTCTAAATGGTAAACAATAAAGCTAAAATGAATTAACCCTACATAAAAAAAGGAATATGACCCTATTTCCTATTATTTATACAGTGAATTGAACTCCTATTAATTCCGACATACTCTAACAAATCTATTTGAAGCAAAACAAAACTATTGCCATGAGTTGTTGTTAATGTTTTAAATGTGAAAATAACACATTTCCAGAATCTAACCTAAAATTAAGAAACTAATACTTTTTATACATAAAAGCTTGACATCAGAAATAACTGCCCAAAGTTGACAGTGACTTTCAGGGGGGATTAGCATAAAAAAGGCTTTAGGCTTACCCAAAAGGAACTGTGGTGTTGGGTATAATAGGATGTCTGTATGTGTCCCTAATTGAGGCTTTGGAGCTGTCCTTTGCCTCACCCACTAGTTATCAAATGCAGTTTCTGTCTTACTAAAAATCCTCCATGGATGGCATGACTGACTGCACCCAAGTCTACAGTGTCGGATTAATGGCTGTGTGATCAAGTTCAAAGGCAGAGCTGGCCAGGATAAACTGATTATAACCAGTGCCAAAAGATGTCTGGGACAGCCCGGTGTGCTGTTCGAGGAAAGTCTTTAAATATCAGGTCTTGGTAGGTTCAGGTCCATTCTGGGTACTCCTGTAAATAACATTTGCTCCAGATCCAGCACCCAGAAACAGACAGGCAGACACTTTTATCCTGCTGCGGGCGGCTGAGATATTTCTGGAGTGTTACACCAGTAATCCTTGAGATACTCGACCTACTGATTCTGATTACATCCCTGGCAGTAAACAGGCATTCCTCTGTTGCAGCACTTACAGTTATGACAAATATCTGCTCACAATGACTGGACTTGAAAGTCATTTCTCCAGCTACATTTTCTTTTTTGCATTCATTTGTTAAACACGTACACTTTAATTTATATCCTTGTTTTCTTTTTAAAAAAGACTGTAAAATCATTCAGTTTTAAAGAGTTTATTTACTCCTCAGATAACCAGTTTACTCAGTTTTTTTACTGGAAAGAAAATGAAGCACCACTTGGACATTATGAAAAGTACTTTCTTGAAACATGTGTCTCTTTGCATTACCTGACTTGGATACTGAGTGCTTAACCAAACTGTTCACAGTTTTTTATGCATGGTTCATGCATAATAATAAGGTTAAAACCATGGTCTCCTTATCATCAAAATAAAAAGAAGACATGATGGTGTTTATTCCAAAACGGTACAATTAGATTATTCACTATTACCATTGGTAACAGTTTTACCATAAGAGCTAGAAGAATGAGACAGTATGGCTCTCCCGTAAGCTTCAGAGTCATAAAGGGATGGTATTAAACTATACTGGCTCTGGCTGTGTTGGATAATTTTGCAGTGCAAGACTAAGGATTAGCCGCCAGCTGTCATGAAAACAGATAATCCTGATAATTCTGTTGTTGTCAATTTGAGGCTTGGACGATTTTTGGTTGATGAACAAAAAATATCTGCTTTCCCCCGATTCAGGTCAGTTTATTTCTATAGCGCCAATTCACAGGATGTCATCTCAACACATTTTACAGAGGCAAACCAATCAAATCATACAGACTGACTGGTTAAAAGTTTTATATCTAAGGAAACCATGTTGACTGCATTGAGTCATTGACTGTACAGTATTCTCTACTCCTGGATGAGCATGTGGTGACAGTCAGCCTCTCACAGCAAAACTAAATAAAGTTGGTAGCAGGGCTGACCATTTTTTTTCAAGGTTAAAGGTTTTGTTTTTAAATATATAAATAAAAAAATGCAAATGAATGCATATTGGCTGATATGAAAGGCTTACATCGTGACACATTTTTCAGCCACATCACCTAGCCCTAGCACTGGGCTAAAACTGCTAGTTGTTTCCACAGGAGAGGAACCCGCTAACTAAAAGATCTGTCTCTCATTCTACTTTTAGAAATTCTAGGAACAACTAGTAAACCTGCAGATTGAGAGCATAGTGCTCTGTTAGGGTCATAAGGAACAATCAGGTTGGGCTTGGTTATTTAGGGCTTTATACATGAGAGGGAGGATTTCAAAATATATTCTGGATTTAACAGGAAGTCGGTGAAGGGAAGCTGAAATAGGACAAATATGATCTCTCTTTTTTACATTTTGATCAGAACTATGGCTTCAGCATTTTGGATCAGCTGAAGACTTTTAACTACATTTGGATATATCTACAAGGGAGCGATTTTCATCAGGAGATGAAAATTCATCCATCAATCGATCCATCTTTTCTCACTTCTTCCATCAGGGGCGCGATGCGGCCCCTGCCCATCTTCAGCAGTCTATGGGTGAGAAGCAGGGTACAGCTTGGACAGGTCGCAAGTCTGTCACAGGGCAACACAGAGACACACAACCATGCACACACACAGCTAAGGACAATTTAGAGACAACAGTTAATCTAATTAATAATTTTGGGCTGTGGGAGGAAACCAGAGTACCCAGAGAGAACCCATGTATACATTGGGAGAACATACGAACCCCATGCTGGGAATCAAACCCAGAACCTTCTTAGTGGTAGGCAACAGCACTGTTACACCATGATCAAAATAACGCCAAGTTGTTTTTTTATGTTGTTACTGGAAGTCTATTTCATTCAACTTAGAAGAAGTGCCAACTAATCAGCTTCTTTTTCAAAGACTCTTTCTCAATAACTCAATTACTTTTGTCTTGTCTGAATTGAAAAACAGAAAAAGCCACCCAGGTTTTAATGTCCTAAAGACATGCCTCTAGTCTATGTAACCTGTTAGTTTCATCAGGATTTATGAACAAAGATAGTTAAATATCATCAGCATAACAGTTGAAGTTAATGCTATGCTGTCTGATAATTGTACCAGTTAGATAGAACTAGATCATTTATATTCTCCTCTTTTAATGAAGAGAAAGGCTGCTCTTGTTTTATGAAGGGTGAATGTATACACCAGTAGACATTTTTTTTTTAATTAAGTACGATTTCTCTAGCTGTGAAAAGTAGGTTTAAAATCCACTGGCAATAGCTTTAAATTACACAGCTCTAAATTAAAGCAGGAAGGCAGCTTCTTATGAATAAAGTTATTTTTTAGGAGTGCTGTGTAAAGCAACAAACAGACAGTAAGTGACTCCGTCAACAAAATCATCAGTCTACGGAGGGAAATGTATAGAATGGCCACCCCATGCAATATCGTTCTCTGATACAGTGGAGATAGAATTGGGGTCAGAATTTTTAAAAATGTACTACTTTTTTACCTGATGATGTTCTGTTCAACTAACACCTTTTTCTTTGGGGAATTTAAATGTTTAAATTCTATTTGAAAGTTACTAAAAAGTGGTCAGATAGGACACAGTTGTTGGTTGACAAATATTATAATTTTGATCATTATCAAAGCCATATGTCAGCAGGTCCGCTTCGCGCATATTCTATGCAAAGCAAATTAAGTGAAAAATTCCATTAAAGGCTAAATTAAGGCTATTATCTTCATCTTTTGGCATGATTATTAAAATCTTGCACTATACTGTCAGTATTTACCACTAAACCTACAAACTTAGGATATGAATAACAAAAAAAAATCATCACTGATTCACATTTACCTAAATAAATATTACTACTGTAAAATGTATCCTCATCTTTCTGCTGTCTTCACTATGTTTCTTTGTGGGACGAGTACATTCAAGATACCGTGTCTCTGCCACTTACATGTTTTTGATTGCAAGCGATAAAAAAAATATTGAATTCTTCCTGTGGTTTTCATTTTATTCTTATTTTGTTTCGTCCACATTCTTCATGTGTGCCTTAAATGATTTAAGGCTTCCGTTCAGCCCCTTTTCCAATAAAGGCTAAATGTGTGAAGTGATTGTTGTGTAAATACACATCAGCTGTGAATCTCTACAGCTCTTCCAGAGCTACCATTAATTGCTTCTCTAGTTTATAATCTTCGTTCTAGGTTTGACAGCTTACACTTTAGTGTTTTACAGTTGGGTAACTTAGGGGCTAGGATCAAGTGCACATATAATTTTTCACATTTTTTTTTTTTTGTTAAACTTGTCAATTAGCTGCCATTCGATGATGCTCTTTCACATCAATACCATTAAATTAAAATTAAGTTAATGGTTTTGACATGGAAACCAAAGAAGAAGTATACGTTTCTGCAAGGGACAGTATAATTAGAAGAAATTGTTTGAGGGATCATGTCACAAGAGGTCTTTGGTAAAGCCTGAATCTGTTTAAACTGGATTACTCTGCAATTAAGCATGATTGGATTACTATCCGATCATCTCTCACTCAGTTTCATGCAAGGTGTGAACTGACTAATAAACTTATCACTCTGACAGACATGTGTACATGTGAATGGGTGCGTGCATGTGTGCTTCTTTAGCTATCATGCATATGCACATCTCAGCATTTGTGTATTTGTATCTGGATCCATATCTGTTTGAGCCAAAGTCTTTGTGCTTGACTGATTGCTTTGTGTATCTGACCACAATTGAAAATGAATCCATCTCCTGCCTGCCTGTCTCCCTCCTTCCTCTCTCTCTCTCCCTCTCTGTGTGTGACAGTCTCTATCTGCTCAGTTCCACCTTAAGAGAAGCTTTAGCAGCCTGTCCTGTTTGTGTTGAAGCCAACAGGCACAATATATTACAGTCTAGGGCTTGCTGCTGAAAAGCCCGCTGGATCCTCCACTGACCTGCTGTTCTTTCCTGCTTTCCTCTTGCATTTTTTTTTCCACATTTAGATTAAAAACAAAGCTCTCACTCTCTCCTCCCTACCCCAAACCTCCTCCTCCTCCTCCTTCCTCTCCTTATTTCTGCTGCAGCAGTCAAGGCTTTAGTGTGTCAGAGAGACAGGGTGAAGAGGAGGAAAAAGAAGAGAAGGGGACTATTTGGTAGAGAGTGAGTGTTTATGTTTCTGTGTCACATCATTGGACTGCTGGGTGAAAGGGCGCAAGGACAAGAAGAGGAGGAAGAGGAGGAGTAGAAGAAGTATAAGAGGACTGGATTCTCTGTGTCATGTCAGTACGTGTGGATCTGGACTGATCACAAGCTGAGAAAAAAAAAAAGGACAGACACTGTAAGGCAGAGAAGAAGGAGTGAAAGAGGAGGAGAAACTGACTCGGGTTTCACTGGGGAAAGGCAAAGGAGGAAGAAGTGTGGTGCTCCGTTTTATCATGACCCTGCTGGATAAAGGAGTCGGTGGAGTGAGGGTTCTGCTGTGTGTCAGCGGGAATTTGTGTTAGAAGATAAGGACAGAGAGCAACACAGAGGACAGAAGCCAGTAAAGGAGCAGGGACAGGACTCGCTGAGTGCCAGAGCGTCTAGGTTTGTGCGTCTCTGTGCGCGTGTGCTGCTGTAACCAGGTGGAGGGCAGAGGACTGGAGGGCCAGGGAACTAACCTGGCCATCAAACGGACTGGAAGCCTCTCCTCTCCAGGGATCATGTACCCTCAGGGCAGGCATCCGGTAAGTTCACCCTCACATCTCTATGTCCTCTCTACTCCACTTTTTTTCTGCTCCTCTCAGCTCCAATCTGTCTGGATTTATTATCACATTGACTTTATCAGGATGATCCCACCTGGGGTTTCATGCTTCCACTCTCAGACCTTTCTTCCTAAAACTTCCTTGCAGTGTTTTCCTTCTGCTTTTAGATGGCCATCCTCATAATGTCTGAATCTATCTGCCTTCCTGCCTGATTGCTCTGTAACAACAGGAGAAAGACAGTTTTATTTTGGTTGAGGAGTTTATTCATTATGCAGACACACACATGCACACCTCCCTCTCTGTCAGCTACAACCATGCTCCTCTGAGATCTTGTATTGGCTGTGTAGGTGGTACACAACTAGACATGGTCTTTTGGGGTTGCATGTATATATTGGTCTGCTAATTATTTTTCATGTATCTCTGTGTTTTTAAGGGTGCAAAAATGTGGCTATGAGCACGAATCTAAGGGCAGATCTAGCAGTAGTAATGTTTAACGGCAATCACAGAAAACATTGAATCAGTAGTTTCCGAATTATTTCCATTAGATTTCAATTTGCATAATATTTCAAATCACAGTCCTCAAGATAAAAGTGTGTACAATATTACAATTGCAAAAGACTGCCTGTATGTGCCTATATTTCCACTAACACTCAGGAATGCTCTACTTTCCATGTTTGGTATGATGGACATTCACTTTCCTTGATTCCTAAACTCTGACATAGATTTCAGAGGACAAATTGATTAAAATGACAGTGAGTTGTAGGAACATTGTAATAATGAAAACAAATATTAGATCTTTAAATAGGTTTTGTTTTTTGTAAAATGTATGCTTACCCTTGAAATTCCGGTATTTCATTGTTCAATGGAAGATGTGCATAGGTGATGGATGGTTATTTAAAATCCTTCACAAGTACTCAGTCCTGCTGGTTAAACTTTGTAAAATCACCCTTCTTTACAGTTATAGCTGATAGTTTTTGGGGTATTTCTCTACCAGCTTTGCATAACTACAGATCTGAATTGTTCAAGATCAAGTTTAGTTAGATTAGATGGAGGGCAAATTAGAAGACCAGTTTTCAAGTCTTCCTTTAGATTCTTAGTTAGTTTTAGGCTTGAACTGAGCTTTGGGACTGCATGAATATGCTTTGATTCAAACGATTCTGCTTTAGGTTCTGCGTTACCACCAATGTCTTTTACAGCTTTTATCAGCATTCCCTTAAGAAGAGTATTCCTAAAGCATTATGAGGCTTCAACTAGGTTTTACAGTCGAAAAAAAAGGTATTTTCGAAGTAGTCAGTTTTCTGCCACACTTCCACATAGAGGATAATGAATTCAGTTTTGATCTCACTTCAGAAAGGGCACACTCTTTTACAATTGATGTCTACCCTACATCGGTTTTGATGTGAACTGTAAACAGGACGTCTTACAGCTTTTTTTCAGAAACTTTCTTCTCCTTGCCGCTGATCCATGAAGGCCAGACATGAGGAGCACATAACCAGTGGTCCATAAAAGACTCAGAGCTTTGGATATTGTTTTATGACATAAGCCTGATTTAAAGTTCTCTACAACTTGATCCCTGACCTGCCTATGATGTTCTTTAGTGGTCTTTACGATTATGTCGCACAGGATTTTAGTTAAGGGTATGAGTAGGGGGAAAGTACTTTTTTTTAGGACACTGCTAAGATACTTCCCAAGAATAGCATCTTTAATGTCCTAGACCTCTTACTCTTTTTCTTCAAAAACAATGTTTCCTTTTAGGGAAAAATAATGGTTAGAAAGGCTAAAAGGCACTGAAGAATGAATTACAGCTTGGACTGTGTCTAGCTTAAGCCAGCTGTTTAAAAAAAAAAAGCACTGATCTGGTCCCTATAATCAGATTTTGTTTCAGTCTCATTGTATCTGCTGCAAATGGGTCACCGGCCACTTTTCCTCGCAGACAGCCAGCCAAACAGCAAACCAATGAGCCTGCCAGCCAGCTATCACATAGAATTATGAATGACATTTTCACAACAGGAAGGCATGAGGAATCAATTAAATGTACATAGAGAATGCTAATAAGGCAGCTGTTGAAAAAGATGCATAGAAACGGGGAGAGTTAGAAAAAAATAGCAAGAAAGCGAAAGATGTCGGAGCCAAGAAAATAACCTGTTAAACAAGAAAAGATGGAAAAAGCTTTTTTAAAAGTCTGTGCTGGAGGTGGAAAGCGACATGAATGAAGGAACTTGTGTGAAGATTCCTCTGTTCTCGTCTTTAGAGGTGATATCAGAGGGCTTCATGCTGAGATGTTCAGCGTTTGTGATAAAGTTCAGCATCAGACTGAGCCAACTCCAACAAATCGATTGCAACCGTTTCCATTACCTCCTCTAGTTTGTATTTCTTTTTTGTTGGCTTACTTGTTCTGGAATTTTCCTTGACCCACAGAACTTTCATCATTGTGTTGCTTTCAGATGTATTTTCAAGATGCATTTAAACATAAAATACCTGATATTTCATACTTCTCTTAATTCTAGGTATGTATGTACTGCATGTATGCACACATACAGGTATATATACACTTTATTATATAGAAAGTAGATTGATATATACAGCATATTATATATACAGTATATTGATACTTTCAGTTTCAACCAGTTGAAACCAAAGGTATCATTGTTTTGTAACCTTCCAATTTCCTGAGATTTTATGCTGCCCCTTTATTGTCAGTGTTTGCCTTAGACACAGGGCTAGATGAAAAATGTGAACCTGACCTCTCAGGAGCCTTTTTACAACCACTGGACTTGACCAAAAAACAACAAACAATTCTTAAATTAACGAAAATGATTTTAAGGGACCTATAGTGACATATTATGACTTTATGAATGTTCTTCTTTTTTTATTTGATTGTAAACATAAACAATTACGGTGACCAGAAGTCTGATGTTGTCTATGTGCACAATGAATAAACATCAGAGTAATAGAGCCAAGCAACTCACAGTGGAGGTATGGAAATAAAGAAAGAAGGAAAGTTTAAGATCAAGCATGAAAAATGGCAAGAAATACATTGGATAAGACACTAACACTTGGAATCCAATATGAAGGATGGAGTTCATCAAGGTGGCTGCTAACTCTATGAAAGCTGGCAGATTGATGAATGTATGATTAAGTAGTGCCAGCAGATGGAGATGGTGTGCAACAATATTTATGTCAGCCGATGGTCCCCGACGCCAAAATTTATTTTCAGGCTCAAAAAGGACCAAGTAAACACTATCAATAAAAATGTTTGCAAAGCATTTTTTTTTAGACTTCTATTGTTTGTTTTGTTTTTTATAGGCTAGCACATAACTAGGCCCCTTTAAATCTTTGTTCTACATACCACGGTTTATAGTCATATTCTCCCAGTTGACCTTTAAGAACACTAGGATCGGTTAACTATATAACTTTGCATCAGATAAAGACAAATTAAATCACCTTTATCTCTATTCTTTTAAAGGATAAAAAAACAATAAAAATAAGCAATTACTGTTTTAAAATAGTCAGATCCTTGTAAAATATAAAATGTATAATAAATCTAATTTAACCACTCACATAATCTTGTGCATCAACATGGTGGTTATACATACAATTGGTACCTAACAAAGGTATTAGATTACTCTCTATGGTAACATTAGCAAAGTTCTATTTGAGAAAGAACAGCTGCTTTAATATGAGATGGTTCTTGAATATTGTTTTCTTGTTGAAAACATAGAATTTTCTCCACTGGTCAAAAAGACTCTGATTGTGCTGTGCATTCTATTCAGTTTTTACCTCATATTTCTATGTTTGTAGGAACCCATGGCTGTAAAAGTGCTTAGTGTTCTTTAAAAGGTATCTGGAATTGCAAACAACAATAGCTTTCATTAAATTAAACATTTCCCAATAAAATCCTGTCCAAATATTGTTAGCATGTGACTTTGTCTAATGAAATAAGTTGGTCAAATGTAGCCACAAATATATGATAGGAAAGCTTTAATTTTGAAACCTTTTTTTTGCCCTGTCTGGAAATGTGGATACTTTGTTTTGTTGAGGGGTCACATTTTTAGATTTGTTAAAAATCAGCCATTGTGTATCTTCTCATCTTTTATTCTGTATTTATGCTTACAAGTCTTGGGCAGTGACAGGACTGCTAAAACTCAAAGCATATGCAGAGTCGTGCCTGCATGATTAGCTCTGTATGAACCCAATATGGCAGCATCAAGTCCAGATCATGTTTGTTGGCAGTGGATAAGGCAAGGCACACAGCTGCACCATATAGTCACTAGAATCCTGTCACGAAATAGTAATGTTTGGAATATCACAATCACAAGAGACTGCTCTGACACACTATTTTGTAAGCCATCATATTACGTGTGTCGCTCTCAGTGTGCCAGTAACATATTTGACCAGCTGGATGATCTCTAGTTTCCTTTGATTAAAACTATATGTATATTTCCAGTGCCTGAGATTCTTAAACACATATAATATGGTGGGGAAGCTTTGCTGAGGAAAATAAAGAATTCATCACTATGAATGGTAGTTTAATTGTTAGTCAATATTCAGAAATTGCTTAGCAATTACTTTTTTATTTCAATACCATGCTGCCCTGAATATGATGCAAATCTTCAATTTTCTCTGGCATACAAAAATGTAAATATGGCAGAATTATCAACCAAGAGTTTTGACTGAAAATGCAGACAAAAGCAGGACTTTATTAAAGCAGCTACTTTGCAAGTGTTTTGACTTAAACAACATCACATAATTGTTTTTTCTTGAGAGAGTCTGACACATAATCTGCAAACAATAACTGGGTTTGGTAGCTCCTTAGACTGACTTTGGGACATCATCAGTTTTCTTTCAAAACTAAAGTCGTCACTCAGTATGAATGTGCAGTCAGGGGCTGAGGCTAGTCTGTCCTCCCTCTCTGGTGTGAAAGAGCTAAACCTGAGTTGAGCAGCTTTTTGTTCCTCTGGTTTGTATTTGCACTGAGCATT